AGAAAATTAATTCCAAATCCAGCAGGGTTTGCTGGAGACCAGAGATCTTGTTCTGTAGGAAGAAATGAGAACCTACCTTATTCACTCAATTTGTAATTTAAGGGTGACACTGAGGTTTTAAGCAGACAAAGGATTGTTGAGACTACATGTGAGAGTGATGGAGTATGTGCACATGCAGGTGAGTGTTTCTAGTTTCCTTTCTTAGTTGTTTTTATGCTTCCATGTGTATAGCATGAGTGGTGGGCTTTTGGATGGACCAAAGGAGAAGGGCAATACAAAGTCCAGGATTTAGAACACATATTACAGTGTGGCATAAATAACAAAGTGATGCTTCAATTTCCATAGTAATAGAAAATTTGTTTGTGTTTTGGTATAGCATAGGAGGCTTTATGAGTCTCTTGAGAGAGCACAGCCTTTCTACTACAGATAAAAAAATGGAAACTTTTTGGAATAAAAATTTTATACTACCAGTACATACAAAAGGAGTAATAAATAACTGTAGGAGGATGTGAAAAAAATCTCAGTTCTAGCATTTCAATAGTAATTTGAATCAGCCTCTCAAATGATCGGATGGAACAATTGTCTTTTTTGTATGTTCACACAGTCATAGTGGGATTTGAAATAACTGGTATTGCTTTCTAAATTTTTGTAGTACTCTGCTTATCACACAGCATACTGTATCACTTGTATTTCTTAACTTGTTGTACTCAAAATACAACCCCTAGGCTTGGTCTTGTAAAGACTATGGACTTGGGAGTAAAACTAAGATCACACAGAATTTGAGATGCTTTTATTGACAAATGTTCTGGTCATCAGTTGATCCACGATAATTGTGCCTGTCCTGCTCTCATTGTGAAGAACTGTCTTATATTGACCACATTTTGATCTCATCCTTCGTTTGATGAAGAAGGCACTGCCCTAGAAAATGGGAGATGTCGGGGAAGAGAAACCTGATCACCTGCTCTTTGCTGTCACAGAAAAAACTAGAAATCTTTGAAAAGTTGCTGTCGCCTTCATGTGTTTTCAAGTCAATATGCCTGTTTGATGTGGCTTAGAGTGAAATCAAAGCTATCCATGTCTCTGAATACGTTGTCTGGATTGAGCTCCTCAGAGAACGTCAGTGCAGAGGCTTCAATCTGTTTTAGTTTTGAAGGTGCACACCAGTGTGCTCAGTCTGCCCGGCAGCGTGTTGGGGCTGTAGCACAGCCTAAGTGCTTTGAATTTCAGGCAAGACGTGCCTCTAAATGCTCGAGTGCTTGCTTGAGATCTCGCCCTTATATTTGCAGTCTGTTTAGGAGGACTGTGAAACAAGTATGTTGAACTACTGTTGTTCCAGTGCAGTCAGGCTGGTGATTTCTCATAGGAAAAAAAGGAAGTATTTTAATTATATTTGATATTAGTCCTGCATAGACACAAATGCCAGCATGATTTATTTCATTTAGCAGTATATTCTTCTCAACTGAATTATGTGTAATTGTGTAGACATGGTCACTTTAAATATTTTATGGACTTGTTTAATGTAAGACAGAATGCAGCCTGTAGGGCCAGCAAGAAATATTGCTGTATAATTTTTATTTAATTTTATTTCAGCAGTTTAATATTTTAACTGGATTTGAACATCAGAATGAGCTCACAGTTAGAGTGCAACTTGCTGCTGTAGTTCTTGCATAGACGAGTCAGGTGACTGAAGTCTTGAATAGTCACCAGAGACAAGCTGCACACATGTTCAGGTTGGCAGCTAATAAGAAATATCTGACCTGTTTGCTGCTTCAGAGGCAACATGTGCTAAAGGTTTGAGCTGGACAGAAGCCTTGTCACAAGGCAGGGTTATGTCTTCTGGAAAATACGGACTTGCCAAAAGGAAAAGTGTTTTAATGAAATATGAAGTGTTCCTTTGGAGATTCATCTTGTTTGCTGCTATTTTACCTGTAGTCAGGATTTTGTTTTTGCAAGTCCTGGGCTCGGGGGGAGAAAAATCAAACAATTATCAAATTGTCAAACAGTCAGTGTGGTGCCCTCGTGCCAGTCACGGCCTCCATGAATCCTTCAAAGGTGGATCTTAGCAGCTGGGTCTGTGCTGTTGTCCCCCTTGGCATTCCTGGGATATCACACGATGGCTTTTCATCAGCAGGGGCAATTTTGGACTTCACTGAATTTGGACAGGACAAAACCTTATACAGTTTCATTTTATTTTTGAAAGGAGGGTGGAGGGACCAGCAACATGGTCATCTGCTTCCTGTGCCTGCTTGTGAGAAAATATGTGAAGTTCTCACTTAGAGACAAAGCTGCAGTTTTGCACTAGACACTGGGCGCAGCTGAGCCTGATGGGTGCTACTGTAAAAGGCAAAATGCTTAGTGTAAAAAGGGAGGAATTGTTCTGTGTGTGGTGGCCATTGTGTTTCAGATCATCTTCTTGCAATCAGCAATTCTTAATTGGCTGCGGGGCCTGATTCAGTGAAGTGCTGAATACTTTTGCAATGCAAAATGCATTAAGGATGCTCAGCACCTTTTCAGGCTGTTGATTTCTCACTCATATAGTACATGAGCCATAGCTCACCTGATTTTCATAGTCATTTGCCTTGTAAAAATAGAAATCTGCCATCTCTATCAAGAAATAATATTTGTATTTATTTGCAGGATGAGTATCATTGAAATCAGATGTCATCCTTTTCGTGTTTTGATGCTGGTCATGTCATAGATGGATTTGAATATGACTTATTTCAGTGAAATAATTAATAACAGCAAGGTTTAAGTGTTTAACTGCTTCTCACTTTTGGCTAATACAGAACAAAATCTGTCACTACATGCTTTTCATCAGGAATTGTCCACCTGAGGATGTTTGATCTCTTCTGATTTTATCTGTGTACAAGTGTCTGGTTGCTGAGGTAAATGGCTAGAACTTGAAGTATAAAGCACCGTGGAAAGAAAACAGTTGTCCATCCAAGGAGTCTCTGCAGGAACTGTGTAAATAGATTACAGTAAGGGTTATTAGGAAGCTCAGCTGTATCTCTGCTTAAGCTCTTTTTTTTTTTCCTATTTTTTATCTTTTTTGCTTTCAGGATCATGTGTAACATAGGAGTCTTTTAAGGCTGATGCAGAACAAGAGTATTGTCACCTCATGCCTGCTCTGTTGACAAAAACATATTATTATGGGTGACCAGGATGTAACTGAATAGATCCAGGGCTTTGTATCTTGCTTTGACAAAGCAAGAGAAGATCAAAACCTCCACACTTTCAAACAAATTAAGTACTTCATAGCCTACAAAAATTTGTACTCGCAAGTCTTTTGATTATTTGTGAAGTCTTTCCTAGAGGGGTAAAACTGATCATAATTTGATACAATTGCAACCTAATACTTTTTCTTTACTTGGAGTGAATGTCCAGATTTTGTTATCAGTTGCTTTAATTTCTCTGAATCATCAAAACTGCCTCTCAAGAACTGATATCTAATAGCTCTGAACAGAGGAACTGTAGTTAGAGAAAGGCAGGGAGATAGATGTGCAGAAATGAGCATGAGCTCCTGCCGATCAAGTTCCTGCCTCTGAGCATGATGTGTCAGAGCAGCCTTTGCTTCCCCTGTCTCTGTGTCCCTGTGTGCTTCAGCCTTGGTGCCCAGGAGTCCAAGTGGAAAATATTCCCATGGGAAGGTGCTTTTTTATCCTCCTTCAGCAGATTGCCTGCTGGCAGCTCCTCTTCTGGAAACGTGGGTTTCCCTCCTGGCAGGGTGAGGGTGGTAACCATTTCCTAGTCCTTTGGGTTTTTACCTAATACATGCTAAAAGACATCTTGTGTCTTCAGTACAGTCTGACAGGTTTTCCTATGTCCCTTCCTTCCTCCTGTCCCATCTTTTCAGACCCTGTTAAGCCATTTAGCCTCTGCATCTTGCCTTGGTCCTCCTACAAGGCAGCAACGCTGCTTGAGTGTTGGTATGGCCATGTACAAATGGTTGAGAACAGTTTCTTTGCCAGTAAATTCAACTTCTCTTCTCACATGAGCTGCCAAAAGATGACAGCTACTGGGGAGACATAAAATCAAAAAAAAGCTGCTGATGTATTGGTGTAGGCTGTTTGGATCACAGCAAAACAAATGGTGTATTTTAGTTTGTGGACTGTTGAAAAGGATCGGAGAGAAAAAAAGGCAGATGGGAGAACTGCATAAATACAAGAGTTTTTTGGGCTGTTTTCAGCTAAGAAACAGTAACTTTAAGAAATTATGAAGGGTTGAACAAAATTTTTCGCATAGCTAATTTTTTTATTTTATTTTGGGGCTGGTCTTCAAACAAATATAGATAAACCCCAGAACCATTGCCATTTGAAATAAAAAGACAATTAAAATATCAAATCTAAGTTTTTAATATCTTTTGTTAATTTTAATAGGTATTTTTCTTTGAAAAAGTTCATCTGAAAAATATCACCTACTACTTATGATGCTAGACAGCATATTTTATGAGACATTTGTGTTTTGACAAAGCAAACTCTGTCACACAATTTGGTTTCACATATTTTTATACCAACATTTAAATGTTGGGCTTGAACTGCTCAGCTGTATGAAAATATAATCTTCTTACAGTCACATATTCTTGCCTGCTGAAAGAGTTGGTTAGAGTAATTTGTAACTCTTCCAGATAATTTTAAATAGTATATTTTTAGAAGAAAAATGGAATGACAAACAGGAGCTCAGAAAGCAGCTTTTCATCTGATCATAACCACAGAGCTTCCAGCAAAGCTTGCCAGTGACTGAATGTTGCTGTTGGAAGGATCCTGCACTTGGATTTGAACACGTTGGCCAAACGTGCTGTATAGGTGGCCAAAAGAATGAATTCTACTTTTAGAGAAAACACCTGTCCCTGTTGCCTCCGGTCCTGTGCTGCGGGTTCCTCTTGGCAGGAGAAAGGGATAGAACAAGTGTGCTCTATTTTAAAAAGTATTTGGCATTGCAGCAGTCTATTCTTACCTTCCAGATGTACCTCTTAATATATTTTTTTCTTTCAGTCTCTCTGTGAAGTCTGTGCATGCATATCCCACGTGACTTCCAATATTTTCATCCTTGGACCAAATTCTGGCTGAGGGCAGAGGGAGTTTTGCGAGGGTGATGTTTGGGCGTTGGAGTTGCTGAGCAAAGCACCGGATTTTGTTGGAAACTGTGTGTGCTGTGGTTTAGGTAAGGTAGAAACATGTGGGGGCTGTGTTCCTGCATGAGGTTGCGTTGCTGTGCTTTTACATTCAGCTCTTGGGAAGTGGGAAACATCATGCACTGAAACTGGTGTTGCACTGAGAGTGCTGATTGAGACCTGGACAGACAACTTGGCTCCTGAATGTGCAGAGCTTTGTGCTTTTTGAAATAGGATTTAGAAAATTGTAAGCATCTATTTGTCTAGAACACTCTTCTATGGGGAGTGAGCCCTTTGAATGGTGCAGTTTGATACAGTAAGTGCTGGCAAGTTTTGTGATTGTTTGATCTGGACTCTTTTAATAACCATGTTTCAGATAGAATTATTCAGTGTTACGGAAGAAAACTGTCAACAGGTTTGTTTTAAATCTTTTGTTTGAGCGAATGTTTGCGATAATCACCTTACCTCCAAGATTCACAGAACATACTTATGAATACAGCCAAAGCAAATTAAATAATTTATTTGAGCAAATATTGAGAGGAAAACGAGCTGATATATTTGCACAGTGCTGACGTTTTTTTCATCTTGGAGATTGACCAAAGAAGTTAAGAGCCCAGCTGGAATAAGGAAGACATAGGGAAAATGAGCTTGCTTACTTTGTTCTTTCTTTTCCAAGCCTAAAGTTAAGGTCTTAAATTCCTTCCCTTCACATTTATGTGCTAGGAGGAATATAATTACCAAGGTGATAAGAATACTGATTAATGCTTCCTAGGCTGTTGATAACACCTATTTTAAAAGGTGAAATTTTTTTCAGTGTGTACACTCCTGTATATTATAATAAAACATGTATTCAAGAATTTGGCATTTTCCTCATGACTCCTGGTGTGTTGAGTCATCACACAAGCTTCTATTTCCTCTTCATTATTCATTTATTGCATTACCTTATTTAAAATTACTTGGAAGAAAGGGTATCAAAAGCCTGTAGCTTTTTTATTCAGAATGTTCTTTTTTCCCTAAAAAAAAATATTTCTATTTACTAAGCAGTGAGCATCCGCACACTGCCAGAGCTGAGCTGGAAATAGAACAGTGACTTCACTAGAGAGTTTTATAATGGAAAAACTGCAGTTAGCATATATTTTGCAATGCATGTAGTTGATAAAGCTGTGTGAACAGCTTTGCAATGACTGAAACTTCATAATTATATCAACATGAAGAATGAGCCAGTATTTAGATGGGGAGTCAACTCTATGTTGCTTTCTTCCTGGAAATCTCAGGGCCATAAAAATTTAACAATCAGTGAATAAATAACTGCTATTTAGCTCGTCAGAGATGGTGTTGCAGTTCTTATTGACTCTGAATTTGCTTAAAGCCTCTAGATTTAATAGGAAAGCTGCAGTTGCAACTACATAATTGTCTGGATAACTATTATTGCTTGTAATGACATTACTCACAGTTTAATACTCACGGTATAATAGAGTATACTTGATTTTGGGGCAGAGCAGTGACATATAAAAGCACCCTCTTCAGTTAAATTCTAGGAGACGGAAAATTTTTAGAATGTCGGAGGGAGCTATTACATAAGGACAAATATTTACCTAATGTAATCAAACTCCTCTTTAAATCAGAACAATAGTGGGAGTGCAGTTACTATGGTTCTGTATAATTTTGTGCTATATTTGACAAAATTTGGCAGGACTAAAGCCACAGCTGATCATCTGATTTTGAAAGGGAAGAGAAGAATATGGTAGGTTTTCATTCCCAATCTGTCCTCAAGATGATGGCACATGCTCCCTCACTAGCCCTGAGCAAGGAAAAATAATCCAAATAAATATTTACCAAAAGCACGTTTCAGCACTGCTGAGCTGTGAGGATGAGGCTGATTTTGAATGACACTGCCTTTCTATGCCTGCCCTCCCCCTCCCCTTCTGAGCCTTGCAGAGTGGGTTTAAAAGGAGCCCTGCCACAGCCTCCATCCTGATCTCCCCACACCCTTGGTGCAGGACCCCATTTCAGCCCAGCCAGTGTCTGTCCCAGCACTGCTGTACGATGTCAGTCCCCTGTTCTGCCTCTGACCTGCCCAGCTGTGGGGTCCCACTGAGCTGCCCTTCAGCCACTTGTGACCTCCCAAAGTACTTCTTACTGTGAGCTGAATGAAGCTGAGGGGTAGAGTATTCTCCAGGTCGTGCCCTTGAAATACTGATTCTCCAGTTTTCACTGGAGAAGGTCCTGTTCCCCCGAGCTTTTCTGTGATGCAGAGCTGTGTCAGGTGATGGACTGATGGAAGTATCAAAATAAGGGTAACTTTGTTGGTGTGCTTTTATGGGGGGTTCTGTTTGGTTTTTTTAATTGATCTCTTGGAGTTGGGCTGAATGTGAGTTCTGTGTATTATTTAGGACTTTGAACATGAGTCTGCAATAACTGTTAAGAGATAATTAGCACAATCACAGTAAATCACCCAGAAGCTTGAGCCATCTGATATGACACAGAGTCTTTGCATACTTCACAAATAACCTTTCATGGAGCATTTCGTGCTTCAGCACTGCAGGACATGGAAGTGCAGGAGTGAAGACAATATCCTTTCCTGACAACAGATCATACTCATTTTTCCTTGTCTCTCACCTGTTTCTTCGTCTTATCCTGTTTCCACTTGCATTAGAAAGGCACAGAAGTTACTGGCACTTTGGAGAGTGCCAGGAGTGCCTGTGTGGGCATTATATGTAGAATGGACAGTGAATCATTGTACGACTTGATACTCCAATAGACTAAACACTGCAGTTGGCAGACAGGAGGAGTAAAAGTATATGGTAAAAGGAAGACGAAGTTGACAATATGATTGTTTTTCACATGTGGCACCAAAATTTGGAAATACTGATCTCTTGCATTTTTATATTGAAAAGGGCCTACCCAAATTACCATTTATGTAGAAAAATTTGATACTGTTAATGCACCGAACAAAAATGGCATTTATATATAGCACTTGATAAAAGCACAAAAGGTGAAATCCCTTGTTCTTTAAAAGTAGTTCATGGCTCTAACTGTATTTTTTAAATATAATTTTAAGTAATCATGTTTTTTTCTCTCATTGTGGGAGTATATTAACCTCAGCTTTAAGATACTTAAACTTCATCTGTACTGAAAATATAGGTAGAAGTACTGACATATTGAGAATATATGCCAAAGAGCTTCCTTAATGCATTCAGACATCTAATTTTTATTTGTCCCTAAGCAATTATGTCAATATTCTTTAAGGAGCAGTGTTTCTTGTAGTTTATTGTGCCAGATAGGCTAGACAGAGGTAATCAGTCTTGCAGATCCAGTTTAGTGGTTTTCAAGCTGAGCAGAATTAGGGCCATAGAGCAGTGCTGTGGAGTAGCATAAAACACTGTATTTTGGGGGGTGCAGATCATGTTTTTTTGTTGTAGCTTTAATTATTCAGAGTATACAGGATGTTTTCTTTCCTAAAAAAGGAACCTATTCACACACAAGAGTCTGAATATTCATGATCGATCAAACTAAACACTGAATCCAGAGCCAGAACCTTCCAGCAGTAAACTTGGCTTGGCACTGTGACCTGGTGAAGTTGCTGGCCCTTCTGTCTTGCAGTTCTGCATTTTTGTTTGGAAGTAATCACCCTTACCTTGGTTCTTGAGTGTAGTTGGAATTAGTATATTTGTGTAGCACTTCAAGGATGTTAAATATTTGATCAAGACGTTGATTTATCTGGTGACTCAGAGGAGGAACTGACTCTGAACATCTGGGAAGCAACCTCTGAAGACCAGAAGTTTGGATAGACCTCTAGAAAATATTAGCCAGAAAATATTAGCGCTTGGTCTGTCTTCACCAATAGATGCTGTCCTTCCTCAAGGACATGTGGTTTCTCTTTCTCAGTCAGCTTTCTGCTTCCCCTCCATCCAGCCTGCCTGCTGCCCTGTGTTTTATTCTGTGAAGCTTAATTCTTCTTTGCCTAGGGTGAAGTCTTAACAAATTGTTGTAAATAGCATTGCCCCTTTACATTAGTAGCAGAATGATTTGCTTGGTTTGCTCCTGTTTAGCCTGACTGAAACAAGCTCCTGGCATATAATCACTTATGCTGGTCATTAAATCCCTGTTAATAATGCAGTGTATTAGATGCCATCTGTCTGTTCACTGATAGAGCTGTCTGCTGAGTCCTCAGTCACTGTGTCAGATGCTGGGGTAGGTCTGCGTGTCTGTGTGTGCCCCATTCGTGCCTTTCGTGCATCTGGGATAAGAGGACAGGCTACATCTCATCACTTCTCTTATTCCAAAGAAGTTTTGAGAAAGCAAGTGGATTATCAGCATCTCACAAGGGAAGTAGAGCATCACTGAACAGGCAAGGTTGGGAGAGGGTGAAATTCATGTCAGTATCTAGTGCAATTTATGCAAGAAACAAGAGGAACATCTTTATCATTATCGGTTTGGAAAGACCTTAATTCAGAATGGCAGTGGCTGTTTCTTTAGCTATTTTGTAAGATCAAATTTCCCTTTCTGAAGAAGATCGTGAAGAAGATCTGTTTTAAGCAAGGCTCATCTTGGAGTAATGGGAAAGGAGATGAGGCTCATGAGCTGAATCTGCCTCACAGGGCACAAACCAGGAGGTTGTCAAGGTCATGCTCAAGCAAAAGGCATTTCCCCTACTCTGGTCCACCAAAAAACGGCTGTTGACAGTCATTGGTTTGTTTGTTTATGACCTATGTTATGAAAAAAGTAATTTTAAATTACCAAAATGGTTGGGTGTGGTTCAGCATTCATAATTTTCCCTTGAGATTTGGAGGTTTATGAATGTTGTCCAAAACTCACACTTTGTAGGGACTCTTAAGTAACAAAACCCCGAGGCAGGATCATGTTTGTAAACAGAAACTTTACCCTGGACTCCCTCCAGGACTGTTTTCTTTGATTCTTACTCTGTGGAAAGCAGGCTTAAAAAACAGCAGTGCTTTGATACGAATTCTTCTCAATTGAAGCTTTGGAACCAGTGTGCTCAAGCTGCTAAAAGGAATCAGGAAAATAACTTAATTCAGGCTCATAAAGCCTTTCCACTGATCTTCCCTAAATGCCAGCTTTTTCAGAGGTCTGTATTAGAGATTTTGGGTGAATTTCTCTTTAAATATAACGTTTGTCTTCATATCTAGAAGATATTATTGGTCCAGTCAGAGAGAACCTCTTCCAAAAACGTTACCTAAAATTATTCAGTGAGATCCAAGAAGAAACCAAACCAAGCAAGCAGAAACATTTCATTTTATCTCTCCATAAAGAATTCATTGGGAGATTTTTATTGAAGGACTTGTACAATAACTTGTGCAGTAAGTGAAGGAGAATGCATCATTTTCCCTGGAAGAGAGGCAAATTGAATAAAAGTTATATCTGAAAGGCTAGGGCAGCCTGGGTAGCTCATCAGCTGGATAACCATGTGATAGACCCAGAGGCAGCTTCAGAACTGTCATGTCAGCTGTTATCAGTGGAACTAGCCAAGGAGTGGGCTGCTGAAGTTAGCAGACTCCTTTCTACATGGGCATCTGGTTCTTGCAGCAATTTGATGCAGCCCATCTGTGCTGCCCATCCTCTTCCACGTATACTACCCAGAGGAGAGGAGGAGTAAAGGAGTCTCATTTTTGGGGTGTTACACTTCAAAAAGTGGATGGCTTTTAAAATGCTTGGCTGATGGTCACTTCTTGAAGGAAGACCCTTCTACCTGAGTCGTGGAAATGAGCTGAAGCGAGTAAACTGCTTGGATCAACTTGGAGGAATTTTGCATGTTTGCCCACTTAACAAGCTCAGCAAGCCTGGGCACATTCCCTGTGTACAAAAAGAAGACAAGAGTCATAGTGCAAAAAGCAGATGTGCCTGGTTTGCCCAGCGTGACCTTGGGTGGGGATCCTGCCGGGCACAGGGTAACTGTGTGTCCCCTGAGTCACCGTAACTGGCTGGGTGCCTGTTCCGTGGACACAAGGTTAAATACCTTCTCTGAAGCATTCATGAAATTTAACCAAGCATATTAACATGCCTCTTGCAGTGAGTTTGTTTTGCTTCACATTGGTGGGGAGGGCAGAGCACTTTCTGAGGCAGCTCCTGCTCCAGGTGACGGGCGGTACCTCACTGATGCACAGTAATTCAGTTGTGTGTCTGGCCTTTGAGAAAAATTTTCTCAGTCTCATCTCTTGATAAGACCCTTTTCTGGCAGCATAAATAATTCTTACGGCCTTTGAAAATATGTTTGAGTTAATTATAATTAAAAAAAAAGTGAAACTGAAGGAATGAGATGAATTTCAAGTATGTATTCTGTTGACAGGGGGGGGAAAAACAAAAAACCTTTTAGCAAGAGTCAGGTCAGAACTGGAAGTTTTGATAATTTTTCTGTACTTGAAAGGACAGTTGTTCTGTAAGGGACAGAAGTAGTGAAGGGGTTTTTGGCAGATTTGGAGCCTCTGTTCTTAGACTCCTCAGCTCCTTGCACTCTCCTTCACCTTGGCTTCTCCCTTCTTTGGCAGAGAGAACAGGTTAACAAGGCAGTACAACTGGGGACTGCTGGATGTCTCCTCTTGAAATGAATAAGGATTGGTTTATGACTGCCTTTGCATCATTGAGGCACTGTTTTGGTTTGGGTTGTACTTTTGCAAGTAATATTTTGGGGGCATGTTCCTGTCTTAAGACATGGTTGAAATTTGCAAAAAAACTTCATAGGAGAAACAAAGTAATAGAGGGATGGATAGCTGGACAGTGAAAATGTCTAATCTCTTTTTCTCAGGAAACCAGATTAAGAAAGAAAAAGTTGGTACTTTTTCTGGGAGCCATGTACTGGCTCCATGGACAGCTGTCTGCATTCTTGGATTAGTCAGGATAAACCCCTAGATAATATACAGGAAGAGCAGTGAGTTGTGAAATGCAAAATTTTTCTGCAACAGGCCAATTAGTGTTTTGCTTCTGCATTATTTATAGAAGCTCAGTTGAACTTGATGGATAAATATTCTTTCTGTAAAGCCCTGCTTGTGTATGTATGCCACTTCTGTTGCATATCGTGAAGGTCAAATTTAAAATCTGCACTTAAATGAACACTCTGCTGCATATTCTCTGTTCTGCTGTTACACATGTGTACTCATTGTACAGACTTGTTTCTCTACCAGATTCATCGTTTGCCTTTCTGTGTATGAAATTATGTTTAAACAGTTTTATACCAATATCCTGCCTGTAGATAACTAGCTTTAAAAATATACTGGCTCAGCTGTGTAAAGATGAGATACCTGAAGTCATCTTTATGGGACAATTGGGATTGCTTTGAATGATGGGACAGTGCCAGTGTAGCCTTAACTATGAATCAGAAGAGTGTACTCAGGGGTTTTAAATTAAGCAGGACAAATCAGTTTTAACTTTGTTAGACTTGCCAGTTATAGGTTTATGATGTAGTTTCCCCCCTCACCACAGAGAGGTGTCT